GGGAAGCTGGTGTAACAATACTTGCTCTCCGAAGACTGGCTCTGCCTGGGGTCATAGGAGATGACAGCATGACTGTGTGGACATGGTCTCTCATGGGGCTACTTTAGTTCAGTCTACAAGAGGAAAAATCTAAAATTGAGTAAATCCAGCAGGCAGCATGATGGCAGACAGTGCTGGAGGTGGGAGAGCAGGTGTGAGTTCAGACTTGAGCCTGGGGACTTGAGGCTATTTCTAGGTGCTAGAGAGATCATATGCAAGGATTTGAGCCTGAGGGAAGATGGGACAGGGATCAGATGATCATGGAAGGATTTAACTAGAAGGAAGTCCATGACATTTCAAAACTGGGCCAAATAGGAAGTGGAGAAATTGAAATTTAACAGTAGAAATACATCAGTGTTGTTCTTTCCCTCTTTCTCCACATAACTGAAAACTCTTCTGACAGTGGGAGCATTTGAGGGAATGAAAAGGGTTGGTTTGGTTGTTGTTAACTGTTAATATAATGCTCTGTAGACTGATGATCAGTTTTTCAGTTTCAGTCTGAGTTGCACGAGGAGGAACACATGAATACCTACCAACCTGGCTGCACGCAGCCTGGTTATGTTTTTGGCACTAGTTTGCTGATGATTCCTTGATAGCTGTGTCAAAGAGGAGCACTTTCCTGAGGATTGTAGGTGAATGGGAACAATACTGGGAAATCTTCCTCAGATGGGGAATTGGGTCTTGTATTAATATGCAAACTATTCTCTGATCAGCTGATCCCCTAAACAAATCTTTCTCATGTAAATTTTCAAGACCCAGCAGTAGCATAATATTCCATGTTTGTCCATGTTTATGTTTAGCAGTTCAGGCATTACTAACAACATAACATAACCATGTCCTGCCTTTTCTTTGGTAATTTTCATAATAATTTGAGACTTCAGAAGGGAGAGAGAACTAGAAAGAGACTATCTGTTGATCTTGAGTAGAATTATGGAACATGCTGTAACCACTCTATTCCTCAGAGAAACACTGATGTATGTATAGCATAATACAGTATATCTAATACTGCTGAATGGCTAATCAGGCAACCTGGGAAGCTTGTGGCCATCAAGAAGTCTGTTAATATTGCTTCTGCTTTACAGTGCCAAAGCCAGCAACCATAAATGCTCTTATAACTATGTTAAGATCATTCTGATGGTAACAATACCAAAGTCCAGTTTGTCTTTCCATGATTTACTTGCTCCTTTCAATAGGTGCCAAAATACCATGTTTTCTTGAAGGTTTACTCCCCTTGCTTTATAAAGACCTTGTATGGTAGGCTTAGACTGGGCTGCTTCATCATGCTTAATTTTTTTTTTTAAAAAAGCTAAGAAGTTTATCACTTCTAAAACAGAGCCTTCTGGATTTTTAATCTTGCAGGAAAAATCAGAAAAGCAAGGAAAAAAAATCCAAACCTCAACATATTCATGAGATATGAAATGCCAGACCAACTATTACTGTTAGCTTTAGGGTTAGACAAAACCAGCAACAACAAAAAGCATCTTTCCAAAAACTACTTTTGCACTTAGTGTGCCATAAGTTTCTGTTTGGGAAAGGCTTTGAACCATTGATTTTCACATGTGATATAGCTCTGTGAATGCCAGTTAATCTGTGATCAGTTCTAGATGTGAAAGATGTCAATATGGCTTAGGATGGCGGATGTTGAACCTCAGAATTGGTGAATATGTATTCAACTTTACAATTTGTCTGGTGTCAACAGAGTCCCAAGCTCACCACTACTAGCATATATTTATTATTTTAATTTGAATTTTGTAGGCTCCAGTACTATTTAAAGGAAGCCTTAATTCATTCTTGACAATAATCACCTACAAGAGATTCATACAAGAGGGTAATTATTTGAGTAAGGATATGAAATCTGACTGCATCACTTCTTCAAAAATGAGCTTTGTTCTTTGCTTATTTCCATTTCAATACAAGAGATACTGTAACATATTTGAAGTAATGTGGTTGTTGCTTAGAGACCTTTTTCTAAAGAACTGCCAACTCATTACTTCACTCTAAAGGAATGTGATATTTCTAGTATTCCACTTCAGTGACTAGATTAAATACCTGATGAAAGCCTGTTACTTTGATACTATGGCTTGTTGTCTTTATAGTAATGGTTCACTAAATATCCTGCTTTTGTGCTTGTTTCCAGTACTTTTGTTTATATATGATGTCTTCCTCCTTCTGTCTTCAAAATCTTTGCATTTAATTGTGAGAATGGTACTTACAAAAATACTTTGAAACCATTATTGTTACTTGAAGTAACACCTAGAGTAGTTGCTTAATGATCTGGTCATGACTTAAAATAAAATCTCCCTCAAGCTGGGCTTTTGAAAAATGTATTTGAGTGCTTGAGTAATTACTTTAATAAAAGCCTTATAGGAAAGCACTGAGCAGTAGAAGAACTAAGAAAAGAGCAAAGGTCATGTGTTGTGTCTCTGAAGCTGAACGTCCTAGAGCTTGTCGTGCTGGCTGAATGGGTTTGGGCTCAACAGCTGTTTTGGAGCACCGCTGTGTTCCAGCATCTGCAGAGAAGCTGGGCTGGCTGCAGCTCATACATAGGGAACATGCTGTACGAGAAGAGACCTGAGCATTTGCACATGCTTGCCTTGACCCCTCTTGAGTGAAAGTCACTGTGAAGAAAATGGGATTTTGTTCCTGTACCTTTTGAATGGAATGGACGAGTCCAGCACAATACCATCAAGCATGTTACCCTCATCTTTAAACAATAAAGTTCCTCTAGCTGCCTGTTGAAATGTAAAGTTTTAACTTAATATGTCATAAGACCATAACATGCAGTGTTTGTACAGCAGCCCTTCTTTTATTTGGCTTGTTTTTGGGGTGTGGGGTTTGTCTGGTTTTTGCACCTTGTTTTGGTGAGAGGCTATTTAGAAAAGGAATCTCCAACTGGTCTGGATTAATTACTTTTCTGGTATGTTGATCCATTAATGAAACAAGGTTTTAGAAAGCAATGTGGTAAGCTTTATAAAGCTATTAGAGTTGTTGTATGAAGTTCAGATGTCACAGATTTATTTTTTTTTATTGTCAAATGCAAATTATTTCAGATATGTTGTCTGGAGTACCATGTTTCAGAGATGTTTTTAATAGGTGTGAGCTTGTGGTTTGTGGTGTTCTCATAGCATGACAGGGATTGGATGCTCTTGGATCTATTCACGTGTCTATTGCACTAACTTAAAAAATTTAAGAATATGGTTGATAATTTTGTCTTGGAGGTTTAATACCAGGCTACAGTAAAGCCGTATACAGGGTCACAGTTCTCCATAGTAATGCCAGACAAGTAATAAAAGTGTGTCACTGAAGAGAGGCCTGATGTAAAGCATGTTTCATGACTCATTGAAGCTTGTGTGTTATATTCAGTGACCAGTATCATATAATATCCTAATGCATGTTCGGTATATGTTGTATGTAGGTTTCTGTTTTGTTACTGAATTGATCTGAACTGAAGGAAATAGCTTTGTCATACTTTCCTTCACTAGTGCTGTTCCTGTTTTTTCGTACCTGATATAGGATGTTTTGAGACACATTGTCTAATCCTGTTACACCACCTGCTGTTGAAAAGCAGACACTGAGTATGTGTTCTTGTCTAAATCTTAATGTAATCTCCTTAATGTCATGTTTTCATGGTCTCGGAGCAAATTGATGGTTTCTTTGGTCGTTGATATTTAAGAGTAGAGATCCTGTAACAAAACTGCTGTTGAATAAAGTGGAATTACTAGCTATTTTTGTCGCATTTCAACAATCACTTATATAGCTTAAGAAAAATTGATACATGGTTTATAGTGACAGGAATAAAGGGAAGAGTATTCCCTTTAAATACAAACTTGATTGTTCAAAGTCAAATCTGAGACACTGTAGTAGTTTCTTTTCAAGTAAGATAAAACTGTCTGTCAGACTTGAAAATGACAATGACATCAGAAGTTAAGATCTATTGTAAAATATGTTACAATAAATAACTTTTTTTTTTTAAATGGAAGTCTGTTTTCTGTATCTCCATTTTTGATTTTGTACAAAAATGAAAACGTCTTTTCTGTAGTTATTCAGAGGACTGTATAAAGATCTTGATGTTAGAGGTGACAGGAGTCAACGGTGCTGGCAAGACAAGTCTGTGTGCACGTAACTTCCTTTGGGCTACTGTAGTTTTAATCTGGATGCACACTTTTCTGAAAAAAACTAGAAGTTCAACAAAAAACTTTTCTTGTGGAAAGTGTAGTTGCATTGTTAGTAGTACAAGAATAAGTTCCCATCTGAAGATGGCACACCTGTGTCCTATATAGATACTCTTCCTATTTGATTAACTTAACTATTGGACATTTGTATTCTACAAGCTGAAATGAAAACAACAATTAATGCAAAAATGTGCCTGCACCAGTTGCCCTTTAAGAACTTGGTTCCAGGGAGTGCTGTTTAACTAGTTCTGCAGAACTAGTCAGTTTTCACTATGAGTACCACACAACTTGATACTCTCCTGGTGTGTTTGTCCTTGAAAGGATAATATCTTTTAGAGTACTGTGGAGGGGGATGGGGGTGGGGAGGCTGAATCTCTGCTTTGAGGGCGGGAACAAACAAAAGAATCTTTCTTGGATTGTTTTTGAGCCGGAGGTTATATTTTTATGGGTTCACCAGTACAACTAACCATAGTACACAAACGTAGGAGAATGCAAGAAAGACTTTGTGCATGCAAATGTCTGCCATGAATACTGGTCTTTAAAGCTCTTGATTTGTTCCTGAGGTCAATATGCAGGTAAAACAGAATTCTTTAAATTCTTGGAACTGTTTTTCTGCCTTTACAGTGTTTTTTACTCTGCCAATATGAGGTACATTAAGCCTTTTTATATGTATTTTAAATTGTAAATCTTTTTACTTGTAGGCCTATATGTAGAAGAAGCAATTGTTTAAGTTTCTTTCTCAACTCCTTCTGCTCTTTTCTCTCCATCCTCCTTTCCCTCAATTGACAGATATAGGATCTTCACCAAGAGAGAACCATGCCTCGGTTAAAAATTCTCCAGTCTCCTCCAGTAAACAGCTCACCAAATCCCAAGTGTCTGTCAAAAGATCAGTACTTGAGAGAACACCTAGCATCTCATCAGTGAGCAGCACTCAGAGTGAGCGAAGTCTTTTCAGCAGTAATTGTAAGTATCTGTCAAGGTTATGGGTTTTAACTCATAGTCAGCATCAACAGCTTGCTAGAAAAAAAAATCCCCTTCAAGGGACTCCTGTCTGACAAATGCCTGTGTTAATTCTTATTGTGCTACTTATTATTAGTTCTAGGTCTTACTTGTTTTGCTTCTTAAGAAGTTAAGACATGCCACCTGAAGGAGCTTTGAGCCTTGAAATTTTGTTTCAGTAGAGATTTCAGTACAGCTCCTCTTCTGCCCTCATATATTACAAAACCAGCAGGTTTCCTTGTGTTTACATGTGTGTAACAAGAAGTAAAGTCTGAATGGATTGCTTGTCTTAATATTTGGAACAGCACATCACAAGTTTTTGATACTAAATGCTCTTTTTGAACTAGGTTATATCTGCTTTCAGAGTTTTAAGACAAAATGTGTATATGAGATGAAAAGCAGCGAAGCAAAACTGCTTTTAGAAGGTAAAATGTTGCATGAGTAGGCTTCTGTAACTTCTAAGCATTGGTGTATGACCTGAACCAAATCAATCTTGATGAAGAATAACAGAACTTGCCTTGATTTGAAGCTCTATAAAGGATCTGTACCAGCAGTTGTAGGAGTTCTAGGGGCAGAAGTATGAAGGAAATAACACACAAATGACTGTCTGACATATTAGTATTCCTGGCTATATGTATTCATATGAGTACATTCAAATATTATGTTACTGTCACATCATCTGTTACACCTTGGAGACTGGGCAAAGGCCTTTCCTTTGTGCCAGATGTCATTTAAATCTGCTTCAATGGACCGAAAAAGAGAACTGTGATTTAACATACATCTATAGTTTATGTATGCGCATATGCATGCATACATACATAACTAACTAAATTTTCTCTTGTTCTTTTTTTTTTTCCCTGTAGTGCTTTCATTAAAAAAATAAAAGCTAACATATTTCTCAAAAGAATATGTGTAATAAAATATGCAGTGCATGTTACTATGACAGCCATGTTGACTTTTGCTGTTCAGGTTTAGGACTGTATCTGGAATTCCTAAGAAGCTTTGTTCTCTCTTCATTTTACTCCCTCATGTAACAAAGAAAAGGGTCATTGCTTCATAACGAAGAAGTGTATTCAGATTAAGTGTCCAAACAGATGACTCCTTATTTAGCCTGGTTTGCTAGCTGGTTTAATCTGTTTTGTCCACTGCCTTCAAGCTTATAATTTTTTCCACTCCGATTCACAAAGAGCAAGCAAGAGCAATATGAGAGGTTGAACATGGCTGCAGTGTCTTTGGCTTTAATCTTGCTTTGATCTTTTTTAAATGACTGTACCAGGAGGACTTCGCAGTTGCACAGAAACTCATTTTTCTCCTATTATTTTCATCAATTCTACACTAACACCACCGACTGACTCAGGAAGCCACTCTGATATTACCTTACTGACATTGCTGGTAGTGGGAACTTACAGCTTTTGTGTTATTTCTTTGTTAGCCACGTTTACTGGGAAAAGAAGTAGGTTGTATTCCTTTTTATTTCTATTTTAAAGCATGTATTTTGTGGAGGTTGGTAAATGTATTTAATATTCTGACTTGCTGATTTTCTGTGAGATGATTTTTCTTAATTTCTTACACTTAATGGGAATGATTTATGTCTGATGGTCAGGTTTTGTAATTACAATGAGTTTAGCTTACATATAATTCATATGTTAGTAAAGTGAATTCTTTATGACTTTGAATCAAATTGGAAAGAACTAATACATTTACTTTGTACTCTAATAGTAAGTACAGTGCTGTTGCCATATTTTAGTCTTTCACTCTACTATACAATGTCAGGCAAAAAACCCCACCCTGTATTTGTAAACTGAAAATGTTTTTATTAGATTGATGGAACACACAAAGACGGGAGGTTTTATGCTGTTGAATATCATGAAATTTATGATAACCTATTGTGGTCCTCTCAATAGCATTAAATTGACAAAGCTGTTTGGCTTGTTTTGTTTAAGGAGTTTGCCTTGTGTTAGAGGAGCAAAAATATAGGAAGAGAGGATTTCTCCTGCTGTGTCAGTTCAGCCCTTTGTTTTGGGATGCCCTTGGATGGGTAATTTCCTGTGGCAACATTAGGGATTTTTTTTTTGTCTAATGAGCACTTGAGTGTTATGATTCTTTTCTCTAAAAAGGCTTAATACTTGAGAAGTTTAGAAATCCTGAAGTTTGAAATCCTGTTGTTAATAAAAGCATATTTTGCATGTAAACTGTTAGTTTGAGTGGTAAAAATTTGGGTTTTTAACAGAAATTATCTCAATTTTGGTGCTGAGCTGAAAATGTTATCTTTTGAATTTACTGTAATGTTTAAACTCTGAGGTTAAGAACAATAATCCAAATTTGAATTACATCAGAATAATTGCATATAAAAGAAATAGTGTTTCAGAAGTTAAAAAGCTGATCCTAGTAATTGACCTGGAGCTGCATTTCTGTACACTAAACATTTCACTAAAATTCTTCTAATGAGTTTTTAAATGCCTTGGATCTTAGCTGGGGTGAGATCACTTCATACCCATCCCTCTTTGTTTAAGATTGCAGTGGCTACTGTATGAATAACCATCTTTGAATCATACAGTGGACCAAACTTTTCAAATTTACCTTTTTTTGTTTCTGCATGCAGCCTGATTAGCTGACCCTAGACTTCCAATAGGACAATGCAGTGCCCTAACTAGTCTTGTACCAGAAGGGTGCTCACTCACCCCAAGTGTTACTTCCATGGCATGCTTCTGGTTTAAAAGATAGCAGCATAGTAGTTTGTAAGCAGTTATTGGCTGTTTGCAATGCACTCTGAGCAAAAGTCCTTAGTTGAACGTTTTACAGAAAAATTTAAGGATTGCATCAGGCCTCATGATTTACTAACACCAATTACTTTGAATCATCTGATGTTGATCAGGGTCAGATTCCCACAGAATAAGTGTTATTGATGTGTTAGGAAAATTGTTCCTCATGTATATATTTTAAAAAAAAAAAAAAAAAAAAAAGAAAAAGGAGGTGTTCAGTTGTGTATGTTTCTAAAAGGAAAAGCATCTCTGTCCCTTTTGCTGTCATGGAAAATGTATTGATTAGTGGCCAGAAAGCATCTTTTGCAATTGGTTAACTTCTGTAGTATATGCTAGTGCATTTGAAGACACTAAAATCATCTCAAGACTGTATGTCCGTCTTCCGATGAACAATATTAGATATGTAGTTCGTACTAACTTTAAAAAAAACACATCAGCCTTATTAAAACAATAATCTGGGACAAGCCATATACTATATGACACACACACCCCCTTTTTTTTGTTTGTTTTTGTTCCTTTAAATGACTAGAGAAGAAAACAACAGTGTGACGAACTATTCCAGTGTGACATAGCTTTTGCTTATCTCTGGTAAAGGCATTGTAATAGTCATAGAATACCAGGTTGGAAGGGTCCTCAGGGATCATCAGGTCCAACCTCTCTGGCAAAAGCAATGTCTAGACACAATGGCCCAGAATCCTATCCAGCTGAATCTTAAAAGCATCCAATGTTAGGGAAAATTTCTTGCTCTGCTGGGGTGTCAATTTCTTACTCTTTAATGTGTCACTATAGGTGGGTTTTTAGTACCTGAACCAAACTGTACTCAATCTATACTTAGTTTAGAAGTACTATCATTTTTGTTTTTTCTGAAAAAATAAAACAATGCTTTCTCTAAATTTCAGATTTTTTTCAAGGAAAAATTTTCATTGTGACAATAAGCCAAATCTCTCCCAAGTTCCTTTGGAATGGAACAAAAAGTCATCTGTAGCAACTGCCCTGTTAGGTGGAAACCTGATTTTGATGTGAGGCAGCAAATGCTTATTGTCCTGCCTTTCCCAATCTGGGTGTCTCTGCCTCTTTTTGCAGGGAGTATTTTGCCGTATGACTTCAGCTTTCCTGGCGGGGCAGGGAATCTTCTGAGGTGTGCTGTCACTGAGGAGGTCACTGTTCTGAACATTTCTTAAAACTCGTTTGGTAGCTGGTGGACAGCTGGCCCCACGAGGATGGAAGGGGTGCAGAGTCTGCTGGTGGTGCGCACGCCACATCACTGAAACAGTGCGCTCAGCTCAAATGAGAGACAGGGGAAGATGTTTCATGAGGAAGTTGTCTTGAGTTTTATTTGGTTTTTATTTTTTCTACAGTCAATTTTGTGGCCAGAATGTCTTTGTGTTTTGATGATGCTTTTTCTTGACTTAAACTGAAATGTGGTCTGTGTTTGCTTTGTACAGCAAGATCAGACTTCTAGTTATGTATTTTGATAAATACACTTATCCCTCTTACATGTATTTTAAAGCTGTATGTCTGGTTCTGCGAAGTGTTTGTAACAGTCATAGGCTGATTGATCTGTTACAGTTCATCAGTCTGTACTGAAGATATCAGAGGTGGTTATAATACTTTTAATCCAACTTGTGTTTCTTCTAACTTTAACCTTGGGTAAAACAGGCTTGTTATAGGATTTAATTTTCCCCAAACTAGATACAGCCTAGAGCAAATTCTTTGTTGTTCTGTGTTGCAGCTGCAAATGCCACAGTTATTGTCAGGAATGGAGAATGCCCTTCAAAACCAGCCTGCCAGAATGGTACTTCGGGATCTGTCCCTTTGAAAGCAGTACCAAGACCTAGACTACACTCGAAATCAACTCCAAAAGGTATATGGGTCTGCTTTTAAATAGAATGAAACTACAGATGCTACTGTTACAGTACCTTACCTGTGGCAGGTGGCTGCCTCCTGAAGCAGTGTTTGTTAAAAAGTGGTCTTGGAAAATGGTGCAAGGAAGTAAAATCACATTAGTGGTGCTTCAACTTTTGCAAGGTTTCATAGGAAGGCTAAAATGTCCTTTGTATTGTTGTAATTCCCTGGACTATCTCAGACAAATGAGTAGGTCTGCACTGTGATACGGTTAAGGTTTACTCAGCACAGGGACTTAATGCACTCTGCTGTGTGGCAGGTGTCATTACATGGGGTTTATGTTTTACTAAGAGTTCTTTTCTTTCATAAAGCTCAAGTACAGACTCTGTGGCTGCTGGTGATCTGCAGGGTAGACCTACCCAGAATTTATCCTGTGTATGGTTGTCCTCGTCCTTATGCATACTTTTCATTGCTTTTACCCCTTTCAGGACAGAAAGGACCTTGGGGGATGAAGTATCTTCTTTCATAGAAATTATGTTTTCCCATCTTTTCAAGGGGGGAATCCCAGAAAGACCTTAGCTCTTCATACTGCTTTTTTGTGTGATATTCTTAGTGGCTGGAGTGGAAGCAGGGGTTTGCTCTAATTTTTAAGAGATAAAACAATCGTGTTTCATCATCTGGTGCTAAAGGAAACATTAATTTAATTGTACTTTATGGCTCTGTATTAAACACTATTCTGGTTCAGGTTCCTATTTGAGCCAGGACCCCTCGATCAGCCAACAGTGCTTCTCCACTCAAGCCACAAGCAGCAGTTGACAACTCATTCTCTGGCCAAAATTAAATACACAATGGGAGCAGATAAATAAGCTTGATGTCTCTCTCTCCTAAATCCTAGTTATAATCAGCTTGCTTCTGACCATCTTTGTGGTGAACTGGTTATTGTAATTGGATAAACCTAATTAAATACTATGCTCCTGCTTTAGGCTTAAGTTTTAAGCTGGTATCTGACATAATTGAGAATAAATAGAAGAGGTGTCTGCCAAATGTCGCCCTGTAATGACATGCTTTAAAATGGTAAACAATGAAAAGAAACCATTTGCTACAAACTGTAACACTTTGAAACAAACACAGTTTTTATGACTGGCTGACAAGCTGATGCTTTCTCTTGGAGTCCAACACATGCAACACAACTATGCACTATTTAACATCATCAGCGATCTGGGCACTGGGAGTGTACCTTCAGCACCTGCAGGAGCAGTGTGGCCAGAAGCAGCTGTTATTCCCTGCCTTGGCTCAGTGTTACTGGGACTACTGTGTTGTGTTTTGAGGCTTTCCCAGGCCGAGGGGGGCTGTTTGGAAACAGGAAAGGTCACTGGAAACTTAGGAACATGTTTATAGTCTCTGACCACATGACCTCACCACATGTGAGGAGAGGTTGAGGGTGTTGAGCTTGTGTAGTCAGGCAGAAAAGCCTAAGGGGAGATACTGTAACAGTTTGCAATAACTTGAAAAGGACAACTACAAAGGTGGTGGTGCCAAACTCTTTTCAGTAGTACCAGATAATTTCGCAATTGGTAATGATTGAAATTGTGGAGTGAGAGTTGCAGCATTGCCCAGCAGGGCCATAGAACCTCCCTTCCTGGAGGTTTGAAAGGCTCAGCTAGACAAAAGCACTGTCAGCTGATCTTGTCTTGGTGGTGGCCCTGTTCACAGTGGGAGGCTGGATGGCTGGCCCACAGAGGTCCTTCTCAGCCAGTGTTTCTGTAGCTGTGCTGTATTTGCTGCTGTTTGGGGACTTAAGTAATTCAGTCTTAGTGCTAAAGTGCAATCTTTTCTAAGCAGAAGAAAATGTTAGTAGTTTTATTAAAACTATCTTTTTATTTATTCTACTGTGAGTTCTAGTAAAGCAAAGCTAAATTGAAATACAGCTTAAATTTACTAGAAGGTGTCTTTTTTTGTGTTTACTTGAGTGGATTTGTACATCTTGTTAACTGTAGATATGCAATTTTAGGCATGTCTTTAATTGATGACATAGTTCTACTTTTAAACCTGATCTAAGTTTCTATTTCTAGGAGTCAAGACCAGGTCTGCTCCACTGAACCAGTGCATACCAAAATCATCTGGGCCACTGCACTCAGCGAGGAAAGTCAGCGAGGCTAGAGGTAATAAGGTGTTGAATACAGTCAATTTTTCACTTATGTTCTTGAATACCTCTGTTTTGAGAAAGAGCAGCTATGCTCTTTCAGAGGAATTGCAATAATCAGTCTGGTCTTTTTCCTTGTAGCTCAAAGTATTGAAGACTGGCTCTGCAAAGTGTTCCTTATGTGTTTGTTTTATCTGGAGGGGAAAATAAAAACAGGGCATTCATTGTCCACTATCTGCTTGAAACTTGCATTCCATAAGGACTCAGAATACTTGAGAATGTCTTTTAAATGTTATTCTGTCACCTGCTTATAAGATCGTATACTTGGAAGACACAACACACACTAGATTTCCCAACTTTGTGTTAAATTTAAGCAAGATGCTTGTGAGAGTGTGCTGATTAGCTTTGGCTGTTGAGACTAATTACTCCGTTTCATGTGTCTGTATCAGATGCTTGGTTCATCTTTAACTTTGGATTGAAATTAGTAATTTTTACCAGCGTGAATCAAAAGAATAGATATCCTCAGGCAAGTTTTGTTGGACAAAATTTTGACTTTGGGAGTGAAGTTCCATTTGCATGGCTGAGATAAGGGGAAACAATTATGGTAGTGGTACAAAGCAGATTGTTTCCTGTTGAATCACCTTCTGTAGCATCACACACTATTTCTCAAGCCTAAAGAAAACTGATGGTTGTTTTCAACAGACCTTTTATAAACTGCACATGACTTTTGCACTTATACATAGCAGTCCAAAAGAGTGCTTTCATTTAATTAATATCCTTCAAAATAATGAGATTCTTAGGTCAGTTTTCATATGACTCCAAACCAATACATTAGGGGTAGATTTATCTTCTCAGTGCTCTCATTTATATCTAACTTGATTGGTAGCACATTTGAAGGTGCTCTCTCTTTATGCCGCCTTTATGCAAATAAAATAACTGGAGCATATAGGTGGGAAAGAAGTTACTATGATGCTGATATAGACAAATTTTTTTTTATTATCTGTGTCATCTATGAATGAGTAAAATCAGTACTATGCGGCTTAAATGACATATGATAATTGTAATGTGGAAAAAGAAGTTTGGCATATTGGGAATTCATCGTGCATTTTCCAAATAGTTTAACCTTAGAATTCTAACTCTTGATGTTGAACGTGCCATTGGCCATTGCAAGAAACAAAGAAACTGAAATTGTGAAGTTTGAGAAGCTTACGTAGAATGAACCTTAGAAAAAGGCACTTGCACTGCCCCTTACTGGCCTGAAGTGTAATTCTCCTCTCTTTTTTCTTTTTTTAATTTTTCTTTTGTTTTCCTTCCCTGAACATTGTAGGTACTCCTGGAAGAAATGCACACCAAAACCTGTCTCGTTTGGGTCCTGGTGAGTTTTCTGAACATACTTTTGCATTTTGTAGTGCAATTTAGATTAGGTTTATACATTACATTAGTAGGTTGGTTCTTTTCTTGGAAGACCAGTTTTGTAGTGGATAATTCCATAAACCATCACTGACTCCAATTTCGAGGGATATGGAGAAAAGTCTCTTTTCTACTTACTTTTGGCTACCCAGCTCTTAAAATATGCGGTCTGTTTCCAGAGAAGCAATAAGGAGGTTTTAGCTGTAACAAAAAAAAGTCTGGCAGTGAAACGTGGATGTAGTTTTTGCTGTTTAGTCACAGTGAGGTAAGTAATTATTAAAGTTCATGTGTTGTGGCTTTAAAAAAAATTATTAGAAGAATCATACAGAATAACAGTTTTTTTCTGGAAGGTTCATGATAGATACCCTTCCGGTGTGAGCTGTCTCTGTGTATCACTGCAGACTACACTTGAATAAGAAGTTGAAATTATCTGACCATATTGATGTGTGTGTCTGTTTATATGGCAGCAGGAGGAATTGCAGCTGATTAAGTGGCAGATGGCGTTCCAAAATCTGGCAGAGTTTTAAGGACTTCATATTGAGTTTGGTTTTCGTGTTTATGCCAGTTTGGACACCTGGTGCTAGTTTCTATCTGCCAGGAGACAGAAAAGTCTTCTGATGATGTTTCTACTTGCTGCAATTTCCAAGACTTTTCAAAAGAGTTGGCAGTCTAAATTGGTTTCCCAAGCATCAGGGTATATTTGCCGAATTAAAAGCTGCTTGTAATTAATTACTCATTGAAAAGCCCTTTTTTGAAAGATACTGAAGATCACTGGAAAGCCCTGTGTCCCCTGAGTGAATAGCAGATGTTTTTATGAAAGAGGTGCTGTAGCCAAGCAGATGTTATGGATTTAAGTCTGGAATCACTGGGTAAATTAGTTCTGACCCGTAACTCTGGTACTGTGGCAGTATGTTATTAATTTCCTGTAGTCATAACACAAGTCTAATGCTTTTGCCTTTTTCTCTCTCGGGTGTCAAATGTTTGCATATTAATTGTGACTGAGTACTTTGCTCAGTATCTTCTGTTCAGAGTCAGGGCTTCTGTCGCACAGCAAGCACGACTTTGCTTATGCTTATTCTGTTTGTTTGTTGCTTTTATTGATATTTGGCTGAACTAATGTTAGTTTAGGTATAGCCTGACAGTAAATTCCACAACCTTGTGTGTAGTCAGTTATATAAGAGTATAGAGGATGATACAGGTAGCAACATAATGTCTTGATTAGCACAACTGACAGTACTCATGATAAGCAACTAAGTCTGGTTTCTAGAAACAGAAAATTAAATTCCTCTTCTGTTTGCTTATGGTAGTCTTAAAATATTCCCTAAATTTAGCATGGCACTTTCTCTCTGTTTTCCACATAGAAAACTAATTAGTGCTCCCTCCCATTTTTACTAATTTAAAATAATTTTTCTTGAGACTCGTCTTATTCAGCCAAATAAATAATATAGCTACATATCCTTGAAGTATTCTATTCAGTGCCATGAAAACACAGCTATAAACTCTGAAATGGCTGTAAATTTAGTGATTCTTTAGAAAATGCTCATTTAGCATCATACTTTTGCCAGTTGATTAGCTGTATGTCAGTCTTTGTCTTGATAAACCCGAACTGTTTCTGGTACTGAGTCAGCTTCCGAAATTGGATGATATATTAGACTTCCAAGTTAATATATTTTTAACTTGTCAGAACATTAGTATAGTTTCCCATTTATGAATACAAAGCTTTCTGATGGAGTTTTGCTTTAAGAAAGATTTTTTTTTTCCCATATTCACAGTTGCAGATAGTTCTTACAGAATAAAAATACTGTGTTGCTGCCTGGATATTCTGCAGTACAATGTCTTACATTTTAAGAAAAGACAAATGATCTTTCTTGAAATGAACGGAAATAATGCCAGCTGGTACCATGTAGAATGACGCCTACTATCTTTTTTTTTTTCTTTAGTGACCTAATATTATAGTGAAGCTTTGTTCTATTGATTTTTAGCTAGTTTAAAGCTTTTTGTTCTTTTATTTCAGTGCCATAGCGAATGCTAGAGTTTTTAGCTTCATTCAGTAAGGAGATCCAGCCTCACTTCTTTTTCTTGCCCATGTGCTCTGTCTGAATTCAGGACTAATTTATTACAACAGGAGTCTGATAATTGGTTACAATACTAAGGCGTTATTTAAGTGTCTAGCTCAGTTGTTAATGTTGCTTTTCCCATTACTTCAAGGATGGAAAAATGGCAGGTGTTTCTAGGACATGGTCTCTGTTCTGTTTGTGCTCTTTATCCATTTTCCATTCACTTACAACAATAATGCAAAGCCAGAATCTGCTTGGCAAAGCAAGGCACAGCATACTGTTAGTGTACCAGTAAAAATGGAGAGACTTACGTATTTGCAGCTGTTCATTCCTTGTACATGTTAAAACATTCACAAGGTTCCTTTTTGTGAAATCTGTATTTCTCATAGATGATATTCCAGTGTATCAAGTAATTTCTACAAATGTTGCCACTTGTGAGATTTTTGAACTAGATGCAAAACTACCTCTAAAAATAAATGCATAAAGTTAGAGCTCTTTCCTTTGTTTCTCCAGCCCTCCCCATAGAAAAAGTGACCTACTTCTAATACCTGCACAGTATATTACAGTGCAGTGTGTATATACAGTGGATATTCATGTCTCATGTCTCTGTTACTGACTGAAGGTTAAGGATAGGTTACAAGGATTGGTGCAGCCTCACATTGAGTACTGTGTGCAGTTCTGGGCCCTAGAATTGAAGGATGTGGAAGTCCTTGAATGTGTCCCTAGGAGGGGGACAAAGCTGGCCAAAGGGCAAGAAGGAATGTTCTGTGAGGAGCAGCTAAAAACTTTGAGCTTGTCTAGTTCGGAGAGAAGGAGGCTGAGGGGCAACCTCATTGCTGTCCACAGCTTCCTGAAGAGGGGAAGTGGAGAGGGAGGTGCTGATCTCCCTGGGATGCAGTGATGGGTTGCATGGGAGCAGTTCAAAGCTGCACCAGGGGAGGTTTAGGCTGGGCATTAGGAAGTGTTTCTTTACCAAGAGGGTGGTCAAACACTGGAACAGTCTTCCTAGAGAGGTGGTCAATGCCCCAAGCCTGTTAGTGTTCAAGAGGTGTTTGGACAATGCCCTTAACAACATGCTTCAGCTTTTGGTGAGCCCTGAAGTGGTCAGGCAGTTGGACTAGATCATTGTAGGTCCCTTCCAACTGAAATAGTCTATTCTATTCTAACACAAGTGCTCATACGATTGGTCCCAAACAGGTAGGACTGGGGAGCTCACCTGAGTTAAAAACATGTCAGAAAGAATAGTGCTTTTGGTGGCAGTTCTAACATAGATTATGAAATTAATGCTTGCAACATGCAGAAAACAGAGTGAACTGCTTCTGTCTCAGCACTTCAGGCATTCTTCTTTGATGGCTTTATCTTAGTATTCAATTTTAATACCCTTTTCCTGCTGTATAACATAAAAGGACTGTTGCTAGAGTATAGAAAGATCTTGTTTGTTTTGCAGGTGCAAGGTTATTAAATGTAAAAATTTCTTCAGTTCAGAAGAATGTCCATTCATTAAAAAAAAATAAAAATAATCCTGGAGGTCTTCAACTGCTTTTAAAAAAAAGAAACAAACCCATCCCAAAGCCCCAAGACTTCTAGTAAAGAATATATGTTGCCAAGCTATGTGCCAGTTTTCAAATAGTATTTTGACATAGTTTAAACAGTAATTTTTAATTTCATGTGTCCCTTTAAAAAAAAAAAGCATTCTATTGTAATCTCTGAAATTTTTCCATGAAGTAAAACTTCTCCCGTTGTTGATCTAACTCTGCTGTTCTTTCAGCATCTTCTAAAACTGTACTCTGCAGGTCATGGGAAATAAATTCCCATAAGAATCATACAGGAAACAGTTTGATGGGTAAATATATTAAATATTTTAAAGCTTCTTCCGGTTCTGCACTGGAATTAACTAGGTACCTTCTGCAGTGAAGTTAAAACAAGGAGGAAGATTTTGCTTGCTAACAGCTAATGGTTTGTCCAGTGCTTAAAACTCTCTGGGTGTAGAAAAGCAGTGTTTTCAATCCTTGTTAAAACTGGGCCAAGCAGCGAGTATTTTGGTCCAGGTCTTCCACATAGCAGAATTAGCATTTTTTTATTAGTTCTAACTAGTCAGGAATTTCGTTGTAGATGTGTTGAGACTGAATTATCGATCTATCATGTTAAAAGCTTCAGTTTTTGTCAGCAAGTTGGGTTTGTCAGTTTTTCTGTCTACCCTTTTCTTCAAAAGAAAAGCCTGGGAATTTTGCAGTAAAACTTGGAGCAGTTTTGTAAACTCTATGGGGTGTGGCAGGAACAAGATTAGATTGCGTATTAGTTTAATGTAGCTAATATTTTACACCTTGAAAATTGTAGGAGTTGAATAGTGTAAATAAGTTTCCTTTATCTCTTAAAAAGCAACAAAAAGATCAGGCTTAAACTTCTTTTTGCCAGATATTGTACTGTTTTGCTGCCTTTCTAGCTGCAATAAAAAGCCAGACATAGTCTTTTATTTAGATGTTTTTTCATCTATGTGAACTACAAGGACTATCTGAATGACGTTAATTGTCTCATGTGATTTAGCCTTAGAATACCTTCAGGTTAATAGGGAATGTTCTTATAAACAGACAGCAAAGCTTCTTAAGTGGAGTAGCTATTCCATGTGAACCAGCTATGAAAGTAGGTCTTCAGTTTGTTGTTTCTGTATAAATAAATGAAGAATTAATCTAAATCTATGTAAATTTGAGTTTCTTACTAAATGCATTTATTGGGGAGGTACAATGATTTTTATTTTGAAGAGTTAAGTGAATATCTGTAAACTTGAAATAACCTTTGAAACCCTATAGCCGTTACTTTCTTGGTCAAATTTTTTTCAGCATTTCCAAATAAAGTATAATACAACAGCTGGCTCTAAGGATTTTGTTCCTTGAGTGAGAACTACTATGCT